GTGAATGTCTGTACGCCAGAAACAAAGTCCTAGACTACTGAATTAAATTTGAAGAATGGAATTATGGAAAGGACATATTGGAAGATTTAAATATCAGCATATCAGCAAGCTATAAGCACAAACTACTAAAATCAAGGATAATTTAGCCTGGACTTACTTCTACAGTAGGAGGATCCTGCTAGATACTTATATAACATTAACTCAAATTATGGCTTCATTTTGGCTTGATGTAGTAGTGTGAATTTAACTATAACTTAATGTGATATCCAATGACAGGCAACTGAGACATGTTCAATAAATCATATGAGTCAAATCTTGGTTTACAGTAGGAAATCAAAGGCATATTTTTAAAGACAAACTTTTCAACTATCAGCAATGACCAGAAACCTAGAACATGTGTGCTACTGAATATGTATTTGTATATAAATAACCTTTGCAAATGGATCTTGTTGAATAGTCACACTATCAAAAACATTTTTCTTCTTGGGCAATCTTTACAAATATAAAGAAAACTCTGTAGATTTATTCCTTGCTGACAACTGGAGTCCAATTATAATACCTATGAAATAACATTTGTCTGCTTAAAAATAAGTATTATAAATTTGGAACTGTAGATTTTCTCACTCCCTCATAATAATTTTGTTCAGTAAGTCTTGTTTCTTATTTCACTACTGAAGAGTTGTATCACAATTCACAATGTTTCTCACCATTGTTGATGATGGCTAGGCTTTCTGGGAGTCATTCCATTGTCGGACAGAACTAAATTACCAAACCATGATTGTTACAAACTCAAATTTCTCTCCAAACTAGACACATCCTAAAAACTAAGGGATGGAATGAGGATGCAATAGGGTCGGAGTTGGTGATAGCAGAGTGATAGCACATAAGATAAAGACTTAATTCTGATGATCAAATCATGTCTGAAGATAACATTTGTTTCTATGAAATACAAACTAAAGAATGTGGATTGAAAATAATATATTAAATTCACTATACAGTGTATTTAAAGTTCTACAGTATTGGGTGCTTCCTGGTCAAACATGTTAAGAACACTAATATATATTTTATCGATTAAGCAATAATACTAATTTTAGTTAAAGGCCAAATAATTGTTTATAATACTTCCTAAACCAAGCACAACACATTTGCTAAATAAATTCCAATATTCTTGAAAATTGCTATATGTAGTTCTGAATTACCTGTCAAAGTTGGATACTGAATTAATCATGCTTAAAATTGTCTAAGTATTGGAATAATGAGGCCAATAGAGAGAGTAAGCTCTTTAATTTCAAGATATCTATTGTAAGGATCCACCCTACTTAAGAAATTATCTTTTCCTTCAAATATTCTTCTCTGCCCTTTTAAAAAAAAAAATCACAATTTTTCCCCAAGCCCAAAGAAATTCATGGAAATGTTTAATCTGCTCAGAACTACACAAAAGTCTAAATTTAAAAAACAAAAAACACTGATGTTATCATTAGTATCTCTGTAGCAGTCTTTACCATGATTTACCATTAGACTCAGTTGATGCCATCAGTTGATTTACCATCAGACTCAGTTAGTGGTCATAGTGCTTAGGAACAAACTGTGAAAGCTCAAGAAATTATGCTAAAAATTGTCTTTAATTTCTATTTTATAGTTTCAAATAAATAATCAATAAGTTGGACAGACTTGAACACTGGGCGCTATCTAACAAAATGAAATTCAGTGGTGAAAAAAGTAAGGTTCTACATTTAGGCAAGAAAAACCAAATGTACAGGTATAGTATAGGGGGTACCTTGCTCAATAATAGTAACTGTGAGAGGGACTTCAGAGTCCTAGTGGACAATCACTTAAATATGAGCCAGCTGTGTGTTGCAGCTGCCAAAAAGGCCAACACAGTGCTAGGCTACATTAACAGAGGGATAGAATCAAGATCATGTGAAGTATTAATACCACTTGACAATGCCTCGGTAAGGCCACACTTGGAATACTGCATCCAGTTTTGGTCACCACGATGTAAAAAAGATGTTGAGACTCTAGAAAGAGTACAGAGAAGAGCAACAAGGATGATTAGGGGACTGGAGGCTAAAGCATATAAGGAACAGCTGCTGGAATTGGATATGTCTAGTTTAATGAAGAGAAGGACAAGGGGGGACATGATAGCAATGTTCCAGTATTTCAGGGGCTGCCACAAAGAAGAGGGAGTCAAGCTATTTTCCAAGGCGCCTGAAGGCAGGACAAGAAGCAACGGATGGAAACTAATCAAGGAGAGAAGCAACCTAGAACTAAGGAGAAACTTCCTGACAGTTAGAACAATTAACCAGTGGAACAACCTGCCTCCAGAGGTGGTGAATGCTCCAACACTGGAAGTTTTTAAGAAGAGACTAGACGGCCATTTGTCTGAAATGGTATAGGGTTTCCTGCCTGAGCAGGGGGTTGGACCAGATGTCCCTCCAAGGTCCCTTCCAACATTATTATTATTATTACTATTATTATTATTATTATTATTATTATTATTATTATTATTATTATATTTAATAAAGACAATGATCACCAGACTAAGGATTAAGACTGGCAGGCCTCAATTATATTGAAAAAAAGTAAGTTCCTCTCTGGATAGACATGTATAGAACAAGAGTTCAATTGCTGTATGATTTTAAGTATATGCTTATATTTCTCCCATTGAATATTTCATGTTGACTTAATTGCACTTTCATTTTTACCAATGGAGCAATCCATGGCAAGTATTCCTATGACCTGCCAAAACCAGTGACAATTCTTATAGCATATAATAAACATAGGTACATTTAATTATGTTAAAGAATTTTTTAGACCTAATGGCTACAGGATCACATTTAATCATCTCCAAAATGATCTCCACCCTCCATTGGGAAATTATTAAATTTGTGACTTAGCTTCTATTTACCTTCCATTATCATGGAAATTTAATAGGGATTTCCCTCTACTATGTTAATTCAAGAATCCTAAAATGCAATGTTTTAAAACATAATTTTGTTATGTTATATATATAACATAACATGTTTTTTTAATATATATATATTAAAAAAAATCATCATTGTGTTTGCCTGAAACAAATCACTGCCCCCTCCCAATGTGTTACAGAGAAAATAACCTTGGTGGGTTTAAAAGGTCATTTAATTTGGGTGAAAAGAGCAAGTGACACTGACTTAATAATGAAAAGATTCATTTTACCTTAGTTAGTCCCTAGAATAGTAAACAAAATAGGAGATGAAGTTAATTACATGGACTATGATCCCTGGATTTATTATATAAATAAGCATTTTGTTATAGACTGTCTTGCTCTTCAGTGGCATTGGCACTAAAGGGTTTATTAAGATCAGCATATACTGTTAAGCAGAGAAGGAAACTGAATGTAGGAATGTCTGGAATGCTTCTCTCATTTTCTTTTGAACTGCTTCACTTTGGATCTTTATGTGAATATACCTGTATATTAATTTTATTTCTTGCAATGTATTTATTTCCTTTAAGTTCTTATTCAGATATAAAATGTAGATAGTCTTCTACAATACTAAGTCCTGCTCAAAATGTCCCAAAGTATTCCCCCCCCCCCATCCCTAGCTCACCACCATTAAAAATGTTAAATGTGTCTGTATTGGTAGCATTTTTAGCAATTTAGAAGAAAAGAAATTTAGATAAGAATGGAACATATTTTTAACCTGTTGGAAGTCAAGCAGGAATCACTTTTAGTGATCAGGGACACTAAATCCAAATTATGAAGATAAACTAAATCTCTTAAAATAACTGTGCAAATCTTAGATAATAGAGATCTGAAAGTTAATATCTGTACTGTTAATTCATGATTCAGAATATTACAAGGATTATTTGGAACAAACAATTGGAATAAACATTCCTGAAATTGCTCAGACGTTCTGTGTCACAGGACTACTTTCAGGAGATCTAGTACAGAAATATTCAATAGTGTCCATTAATCAAGAGAAAAGATAGAGAAAGTCCATTTACTTTCTAGCATTTAACCACTTTGGGATGGTGATTAAAAGAATCAATCTAGAAACCAAGCAGAAAAATCATTAGTTCTAGTCCTGCCTTAGGCATGAAGCCAGTTGGATGACTTTGGACCAGTCATTCTCTCACAACTCTAGGAAGGAAGCAAGAGCAAACCCAAAAATGTTGCCAAGAAAACTGTATAGTATCAACTTGTTCACAATACACCAGGACTCAATAATGATTTGAAGGCCCAAATAAATAACTAGTTTCTTCTTTATCCCCAATTCACACACTCATCTGTATCATTTTTTTGTCAAGAAGTTACCAAAACAATAAGGAAAAGTATGTTAAGTATTCAGTACCTTAAAAAAAAACCTTTCAAGATTCTTGTTTTTAATTACCACAGCTCATCTAATATTCTAATACAACAGAATTTGTGTTTAACTCAAGTTTTCCATTCATCATCTTCCATTTTCCAAACTAGACTTTTATTATTTGTATTTTTTCAGCTTTTATGCTTCTCTTTTTACACAATTGGTTATTCTCTCCCCTTCCTAGTTAGGCAAATACAGGATCCGTTGAAGTAATTTATTTGATTTATCTACTATCTAAGGCTTTCAACAGCTATTAGAATGTATTATCTCCTTCCTCCTTTTTTCAAGGCTATTGAATTTCTATATTCCCTTTAGAAAAACATATACAGATATACATAGCTGCTATTTCCCACTTGCGGCGAATCTCTACATCTCCTTTACATAGTCCATAACTGCGTATTTTGGAGTGGCGACCACAACGTCCCTTGGGACGTTCTCCCGTTTTGGATCGATTTATACATTAATTATTTTTTCCTTGCAATGGGACATTCAGCTCGCGTTCTCGGTCTTCGCGTGTTAAGGTTTTAAGTGGAATGTGCAAAACATTCCACTTAAAAAAGGGGGAAAAAAAAAAAGAGAGATTCTCACTCGGGCATGAAGTTGACTCCCTGATTAGCCCACCCAAACCATACACGACAGGGGGTTCGAGTGCCTTACCAGATGCAGCGGGATGACTCAGAAGGAGGAAGGGAGGCGAGAAGCAGGCAAGCATGGAGAACCGCAGCTAGCGAACTGGAGTCTTGCGCCTCACCTGGGAGCCGCTACCGTCGTCACTGCAGCCTGGATTAAAGACCTGGCTGCCATTTGTTGCACGCCTTCTGGGAGAAACCGCCACGAGGCATGTAGGATTAGCCTTTCCTCCCCATGACGATCTTAGGGAGGCTCGTTCTGTTCCGTTTGTTCCTTTCACTGTAGCAAAATCCCAAGGCAAGTAGCAGCTCTTCCCCCCGCGGGACTCAGTTGCCTGCTCGCTCTTCGCCTCATGTTGCGCCGTCAGCCGTCTAGCACGTCCCAATCGCCCTCGTACTTCGTTGCTTTAGCTTACCGAATGATGAACGGCGTCGGTGGCGTCCTACAACCCGGGCGTGGCAAAAGCTGCGGGAGAGGGGGGAGTGAGGGAATGTTGGAGAAACGCGACCCACTCAATTGCTTCGTGCTCCACAGGTGCGGCGTAAAGGGGCCAAAGGGGGGGCTGCCCCCCTTTTTTCTTCCTCGAGGGAGATTTGTATTCTCCGAGACCCTCAAGCCTTGCTTCCCGAGGAAGCGCGCGCGCAGCCTCTGCGATCCGGGAGATGACTTGCTTTCTAACGGGGCAAGCTATGAGAGTTTTGTCTTATGTGCTGCAAGAGAATCACAGGCTCCTGGTGTCTAGTTTCAATTTTCCTTTCCCCACCCTGCCCTGCAGCTGGAACATCTGCGGAAAGAGATGAGGCATTCAATTCCGCACGATCTCCCTAATGAGGTAACCCCAGGTTTTCCCCCCTCCCGTTCGGGAAGGGGCTTGCGCTATTGTATACTGGCTCTCTCAGCTTGACAAACCAATCCGGGGTTCGGCTCGTTTGCTTGCTGTGCAAAAACCTCCCAGCCAACGTCCAGAATAGGTTCGTATTGCTAATCTCTTTACAAGCACCTGGCCTCTCGAGATTCATTTTAAATATGCTCAGTCGGGAGAAGTCTTCCTAATCATAGCCGCGTTCTGCCTTAACCTACTCTGTTGCCCCAATCGTATTACATCTTCCTAGTTTTACCGCAGGTTTCTTCCCATCTCCTTTCCGACTGTCTAGTAAACTGTTGCTCTTGCAGCTTCAAATCTTTCTCCGTTGATCAGGGCTCCCCCATAAGACCGACTGTGGCTGAATGTACCATAGTTGTATTCGGCAGTGATAATACCTAGTAGTAGCATTTCAATTTGATCATTTCCATATTACTGTATAACCCCAACTCTGAATAGGTACTGTTCTCTTGTTCTTTCTACTGATGATTTGCAGCGATGCAGTTTCGTCTTTCTAAGTCTATCTAGAAATCGTATATGCGCAATTTTCCTTCAACCAGACTTTAAACGCCCGGGAAGGGGATGCGGGAGAATACTACATTTTGGAGAAAAGGTCTGCAAGCTGTATAGCCAAAGACCCTTTTGGTCACAAATTAACATTCTCTCCCTGCCTGCGTCCTCCGTGCTTTCCATTTTTATGAATTGCACCCTGCAACTTCGAAAGATTTACTTGAAGAGAGCATATCTAGAGAATGGTGCTGTTCACTTATGGGGGAAAATATCCTCTCTGCAAAAAAAAAACAAGTCTCTCCCATACAGTGGACACCGACCCCTGCTGCTTCTCCACCACCTCTGCAACCTTGTCGTCTGCCTCGCCCAGAAGTTAGAAAAAACTGAGCGGCTAGGAAGTAGCTGCCTTGTCAAGAGGGAAGGAGCAGGAGCCCATTCTGTACAGGAAATGCAACAGGCGGTGATCTTGGGAGCACTGGTGACAGGTTTTGGGGGAGGGGAGGGGACAGTATAATGGATTTTCTTTTCTTTATTTTTTTTTTTAGGGAGGCAAAGAAGGAGGAGGAAAGAAACGGCTACTCAAGGATTGACCCCTTTGTTTCAACCTACTGAAGGCAACTGTTACCTGAACCTGTCTGGAGCTAAATGACTTGTGCAAGACTGAAGAGAAGTCAAAGCTCCCCTCCACCTCTGGCGGAAAAAGGAATTAGGAAAAAAAGAGAGGAGCAGGAAAAATACAATATAATTGTCATTAAAACAGAAATCCATATTGGAGTAAGACCATTATATGATCAGCTGGAGCCTTATAATCCCAGAGCTACATTAGGCTTATTTAGTGTTCATATAAATCACAATGTAATTAATTCAATGGACAAGGGTGGAGGTTCCAGAGATCTGGTCCTGCCTTAGCCATGAAAGCTGACTTGGGCCAGTTTCTCTTTCTCAATATAACTCGCCTCACAAGGTTGTTGCAAATAAATAGGAGGGGTGTGTGTTAAATATATTCACTGTCTTGAGTTATTTATAAAATAATAAAGGTAAGATACAAACAAATTAAATTAAAATAAATACTGTACTGTACTTATTCCAGCTGCTTTGCATAGTATAGTGGACTTCAAGGAGATTGGCGAGTTCATAATTCAGTATGTTTATGATTGGTCCTAAACCAAACCATCTTTTTCCTCTGCACCCTCTTGGTTTACTGCACACTTATCCATTCTCTTCATTGGAGTATTCTTCAAAATATAGAAACCTGCAACTTAATTATAAACCTGTTGACCTAAGTAAGGCATATCCTGAAAATGTATGTTGTATATTTTATAATACACGCCACCTAGCATTATTTATTGAAATGGACAATTTGAAATCAAATGTTAGAAGGCTACATGGAGAGGTAAAACTTAAGACTAAAGAAAAATTACAAAATGCCAGCAAGAAGTAACATTAAATTGCTCTGGAGTTGTTAGGCTTCTTTTGACAAACTAATCATGTGGGTGTCTGATATTTCTAATACATCTTTTGTCCATATTAATTAAATATGTGAAAAGCTAAGATAATCTCTTCAAATCAGACTTGACCCCTGATGACTTCATGAACTTTTCATTAAGATTTCCCTAGAAACAATACTAGAATACCTTTTCATTGTCTCCTTCTGTAAAACATTTTTTTTTTACTTCCCAGACTTGCCTTAGAGCGAAGGTTAATCCTTCACTCAAGTGTTACGCAGCTCCAACTCAGCTTTTAGAAATCTGTCAGTATCTACTAAATATCAGTCTCTTTTTGTTGTCTATTTGTTCCATCACTTTTGAGGCATCTTGAGTCTTCATGCCTCTATGGACATGAGCCTTATATAGGAACTGACACAAATCATGGAAAAATAGTTATTAATGGTATTATTATACAGCACAGTGCATTTTTTAAAACATACCATTGAGATTTTAAGGGAGAAGTAAAACATAACTAAAGTGGTAGTGCCAAATACTTGCAAAATGCATATATTTTTAAATAGACAGTGAATATAAAAAATTAACGTATTCCTGGTAAAATACCAGGTTTTCGAGATGTAAAAAAAATGAGACCAAGATAAATTACTTCAGAATTTTTTTCACCTTTAATATAACATATAAGCTATACAATTCAATTAAAAAGCAAACTGAAATCTTTCAGGGGGAAAATAACAATAAAAAACATACAATAATATGCATAAGTTGCACACCTACAGTATTTATAAGTAGGGGATATGGCTCTGTTTAAAAATTAGCCAGTTACATTTGAACTGATGTTAAATAGTAGTATCAAGTCTTATCAAGTCCTTATAAAGTAGAACTGTCCCAGTAGGATTTTTCTGACATTTACTCAGTTGCCTCTTACAGCAAAAGCCATGGTTTTCAAAGAGCTTAGAGAGCATCACAGGGATATCATTGTTGGAAGATATCAATTCAGAGAAGACTACAAAACAATTTTCAAGACATTGGCTATACCAAGAAACAAAGTAAAGTCAGTCATCAAGTGGAAGAAAAGGGATATTACCAAGAACTGGATTTTTTCCAAAATAGATGTAAAAAAGAAAGGAAACTGGTCAGAGACTGCCAAGAGGCCTATAGCAACATTAAAAAAGCTGGAGGAATGTCTGGCAAGTACTTGGTTGTATACTACATGTGACAATAACCTCAGTCTGGGCTGTGGAGTGGGATAGCTAAACAGAAACCTTTTCTTACAAAGAAAAGTGATTTATTTTAGTTTACTTTTTTTATATGTCAAAATCCTAGCATTTTAAATTTTGTAAACCAATATCCTATGCTACATGACATCTGCCATCATTTCTAGTACAAAGATCCCAAATGCAACTGTAGCATAATTAATATCTAAATTCATTATATAGGTTCATCAAAAATTAATGCAGATTACTGTTTTATTAATTAGAAGAGATGTAGTCTGCATCCTACTTGGTCCAGATGTTATTTTACACCAAACTTCTAAAACTTTTTCTAAGCATAAATAATAACCATTTTCTCTGCATCTTAATAAAAGTGAGAAAATCTTTACTGCACTTGTTGACCAGCAGAAGATAAACTGTAGGATTTAAATCTATTCTACAATAAATGTTCTGACCTAGAAGCGATTCTGGATTTTTGCAGCATTCTAAACATCTGGTGAAAATTAATACAGATCTGGATGATTTTTATAGATATTTCACACAAATCAGTTTATACAAATTAATGGCTCAAGTTATATTGTATCATAATTCCATTATATTTATCCAGCTTGATTCCTGGATATGCCAATTGAGAATTATAGACATTTTAATCCCAGTGCTGTTAGAGGACATATGCTTAAAGAAAGCTGATGCAGAAGTTCAAAATAAAAGGAATAAAAGTCTTAAACTCCAAAGGATAAATCCATGAGCAATTGCCACCTGTTCCTCTTTAGCAATGTTGACCAAAACAAAACCATGGTTCTTTTTACAGAACACCTCCGAATCCTATAGCAACAACCTGTAGATTTACGATGATCAATGATACCAAATGTATTTGAATATCGAACAAAACGAATACCTTCCTTATGCCTAAATCATGCATGAAAAATGGCTTTTTTCTGTTTTAAAGGAAAAATGGAAACCAAATTTCAGAAGATCCATCCAATATTGTCTGCAGCAGACATGTCTACCCAAGATCTTTTTTAAAAAAGGATTATAGATTGACCCAAAAAAAATTAAGTGCATTGGGAGCTATTGAAGTTTTTTTTTTTTTTTTTTTACATTCAGAATTTTTGTCTTGATTTTCTATAGGGAAAGTGGATCATGGCACCTTTGCAAGAAGAAAAATATAATATCCAGCAACTTAATCAGCCATTGTAATCTGAGAATATGTATATGTCAGAATGAGCATGCAGAAAGTTTTGGCCCTTCAAGCAAGTTACCATATATCAGAAAACAGAAATGAAGAAGCATTTTTTTAGAGCAGCTTTGTCAACATAGTTCCTTACAGAAATATTGGTTTTCAACATCCATTGATCCCCCAGGTGAAATGAAATTCACTATTTCATCTGAAATTAAAGATAAATATTTCTCAACAAATTAATCTTTTACAATGACATTTATGTTAACAATAAAAGAAATAAAAATGTAAAACAAAAAAAGTTTGCAAATAAACTGGAAAAGTGGTTGGCATATAAATTTTTAATCAATTTTTAATTTTTATTCAAAACATTAAATACAGACTTCAAAACCCTCCCACAAAAATACAACTAAACAAGACTACACAAAAAGGGTGCATAAAATGCAAAAAAAACAGACTAAGTAAATTGTACCCCCTAATTGAATACTGATAAATATACTTCAAAGATAATAACTCCTCTCCCCTTATGAAACAGACACTCAATTTATACATTTCTAGAACAATGTTTACCCAACTCACTTAGCCTGACTACTACTATTGTGGTTGACTTACAACCACAATTGAGCCCAACATTTATGTTGCTAAGTAAGACATTTTTTAAGTGAGTTTTGCCCCATTTTGTGACCTTTCTTGCCACAGTTGTTAAATAAATAATTGCAATAGTTAAGTTAATAACATGGTTGTTAAGTGAATCTGGCTTCCCCATTGACTTTGCTTGTCAGAAGATCACAAAAGGTGATCACATGATCCCAAGACACTGCAAACGTCATAAATATGAACCAATTACTAAGTATCTGAATTTTGGTCACGTGACCAAGGAGATGCTGCAATGGTCATAAGTATGAAAAAGGTCATAAGTCACTTTTTTCAGTGTCTTTGTAATTTTGATTGGTCATTAAATGAACTGTTGTTGGTTGAGGACTACATGGAAACAAAGTTGACAGGTAAAATCAACAGCTAAATTAAACCTATTATCAGTCCCTTTGTTGTATTTCACATGCAGAAAGTCCATAATGATTTGTGGTCTACCATATGTCACCACAGTCATTGTTTCTGGTCCATCCAGGATTAAATATCCTCAAATGATTCTTAATAATGAGGCTTTAGATATTAATCAGGATCTTTCCTAATACTTGGATTTTATTCCCAAAAATCATAAATCTCTGTTGTGTATACCTCCACAGCACTTGTACAAATAAGTCTCCTGTAAATTGTAGCAAAACATCTTTTAACATTTGTTTTCTGAGTATATAAAACCATTCCCCAATCCCCTACAATCTTCTTGAAAAAGTCAAGTTCATCACTAGTCAATTCTATCAATTTTTAATCTTTAAAATCCAAATCTTTCTTGGAGTCCTGAAACCTATTTGCATTTTCCAAGTCCAGCTCATCTTTCAGTGAGCAACAAATTACATTCCAATCTGTCATATTGTAAATCTTCTTGTATTGCTGTTCCTTTCATCTGGTTATCATCTTTGAGTTCTACACTATCAATACTAGTATCAACTTGCTAATTTGTGATTGTCATTGAGAAAACTGAATTTTTTCTTCTTCCATTTTGGCACAGTTATAATTGTGCCACAATTAGGAAAAGAATAGGGGAGATTAAACATCACTCTTTACAGCTCAATTTTTCCTACAAACAAGACAGGATTAATTCTATAGATTGTTTGAAATTTTAACCAAAAATTATTAATCCAAAATATTTCTTCCACTGTGGATTTGGATTTGTCATTTAACTATAGATCTGTATAAACCAATTCACTTATTGATGAAAAAATGATGTCACAGAATTATAGAATTCAAGAATTTGAAAATTCCCCATCATTCAGATTCCTTAAAGTCCAGGCTCTAAATTCAGTTTGCTTGGATTTGTTCCAGTCCATCCTTACTTTTTGAGAATGAGACATGTCGCTGTCCAAATTATAAGAATCTAGAGCTCAAAAGATTTATTAGAATGATAAGTTTGGTAGTAATTTGTTCACTCTAGGATGGAAAAGGTAGGATTCACCATGAATCCATTTATTTGTAGAACATATTTTTAAAAATGATGTGGTACACTACTTCGAGTTTGCTAATTATCAGTTTACATACAATCTTTCTATGATGATAATATAACCTATATGAGACTAATGTATCTTTTGTTGAACTTAATTCAGCACATGGCT